ATCTAACCAAACAAGATGACGAGAAAACACGCGAGCTTGAGCAGACAGTGCAGAATCTCAACCGAACCATCCGCGAAAAAGACGAGGAAATAAGCTCACTACAAGAGTCCACAAGGACACTGCAGCGAACAAATCAGCAGTTGAAGGAGGAACTGGAGAGTTTGAAAACTGTTAATGAGCTGCAACTTGATGACGTGAAAAGAATCAATACAGATCTCGAAAAGGAGGTTTGGAAACTTTTTGTGTAGTGTATATTTCTGTGGAATTGCGTGTGGAAGCCATCTTAGCTCTCGGTGCATTGCTGTGATCAGGTAGAGCCTGGATGTCACACGCGGCTAACGTTTTACAGGGGGAAACTTATCTAATTTTGCTGTTATAAGGGCTTGAAAGAGCTGGCAAGTCCAGATCACTAAAATCACAGCCCTTTTGGAAAGTAATTCGTCTCAAGAGAAAAACATACATAATTATTTATACTAGTATTGGGGATTATTAAGGATGGAGAGCATTTATACTCGTTGATCATTACAAACAAGAACAATTTGGACTTCAGTGGTACAGCACTGTCACTTTCCTTTGTTCAGTTGATGTGAAACATCGTACTGCTGTAAAGGCGGGGCAAGAGAGGATAAAGTGACTCACTTTATTCTCTCTTGGGCAGGGTTACTTTTGGTAAGACACCTCACTTGTTGAAGTCATTAGGTTACTGAATCGCTAAACTCATGGTTGTTTTTATCTTTAAGTTGACAGTTACACGGCGATCTTTAGAATCAAGCAAAGCTAAACGAGGGAGGGAGGAAGGAAAGGTTATAGAGTTGAAAGCACTCAATGATGCGTTAAAGCAGCACGTACAGCGACTCCAAGAAGAAAAAACAGATCTTCAAGCAAAATTAAAGAAAGCCAAGAGGGAGATTGAAACGATGAAAGCTTTGGGTAGCTCAAGACTAGGCAAAGCCAAAAGTGAAACAGACCTGTCCAGAAAATTTGACAAATACACCGCAGTCGATGAGCATCGTTACAGAGATCCACGATCCTCAAGAACAGTTAACTTTGCCACCACGAGTCGCCACTCTTCAGCGCTCGGAAGCACTCGGCTTAGTTCGTGGGATACGAATAACACACGATCGGCCGACATTGAAGTGTCGTCTCCTGTGATAATGAACGGTCACGGTTCACTAAGGCCCGACACTAATCCTGGCTCTTCTTATACGTTTTTCCGGGATACGCTCCCACGCGAGCCATACAGCACCAGGACTACAGTACCAAGGCACCGCATAGGTTCCCTGGGAGAAGAAAGTGACATGTCGGATGATCTAGACCACGGTGTGGGTTACCTCACTGCAACCCAATCAAAATGGCGCCCACAAAGCCCTGACTCGTCAACATCGTCTGTTGTTTCCTGGGACCGCGATTACAGCACAGATGAGTCAAGGTCGCCGAGAGCCAGCGCTTACAACCAAAGTTTGTCTCTCTATCGTGATGATAGAGGTAGTGGGCGTAGAGCAAGGCCGCACTCGTATCACGGTGGTAAGTGAATGAATGATTGTAGTTTTTTGTGAAGAAGTTTGCACACTAACAACAAAGACGATGAATAACACTAAAATTGACTCGTTAGAGTCGCTCTCTTTTTAATCACAGTGTTTATGTTTTCCATCATAACCTCAGGAATCTTGGACAACCTGCACAGCAGCGAAGGCGGAAGTACTTCACTTCATCAACGTTATGGCGGTGCGTCAAGCTCCTCTACTAATGCGAGATTACTCACTTCAAGTCCTCACCCTCCCACAGCCGGCGCTTCTCGATCAAAACTCTTCACGAAGCCTTTTGCGCCGACTTCATGTGAAGATGTCCAACTGGGTATGGGAGTACTGGTGACTAGGTCACGTGGACAGATTGCCCGTGGAGTAGTGAGGTATGTCGGACTGATACCAGGCCGCAAAGATACATACATCGGAGTGGAACTGGGACCAGGTCAAGGTAAGTACATATTGTCATGAGGACACATGAAAATGGGACAGGTTTACTTTTGCCACGAGCGCTTTCTTGTGCAAAAATTTCAATTCGTTCATCCGAGATATCTTTCTGACCTGTTTTTCTATGAGCTCTGAACTGGCCGGAAAATGTTCCATTCAAACAGTTGACTCCAAAACCGCGAAAACCTAAAAGATCACGCCTTGTTCATTCCCGAAATCGAACTTAAATTTCCTTTACGGGCGATAATGATTCTGAAACGTCACCTCTGTAATCGGGCTGAAATTTCCTAGATAAACACAATAATTTTTTTCTCCGTTAATCAGACCTGAACTTGGTGGCGGCACTCATGTTAGGAGGCAGTTAACATTTGTGTATTTTCTCACGAGATTACAGCTGAGATTGGCATTTTACAGACCAATGAAAATTGTAGAAATTTACTTCACAATGCTCCAGTTTATAATGATAAGATGCTGTTTGTGTATGTAGTGTGTTCATGGTGTCAACTTTTTATCTTCGTTACCATTTTATTTAGAGGGTAAACACGATGGATCTCTTGATGGAAAGAGATTATTTACCTGGTAAGTGCGAACTGAGAGAGTGACTACTCCTTATATAAGGTTCTCTTTCTTTACATTTTCAATTATATTCTAATGAATTCGCTGCCGAATTTTTCCTTCGGGCTCGTTGAACATTTTACATCCTGACATCAGTGTCCATATTCTCCACACTTTTCTCCATGCATTTCCTGAGGTGCTTGCAAGGAGAATTTGATAAAAAATCAAAGGCTTCTTTGGTTGGCGATCATTTTCGTTATTCTTGTGATTCGAGGTGATATTTTAAGGAGAAGTTAGTAACCAGCTGGGGGTTAAAGGATTAAAACAACTTGTCGGGTTTTTCTTTTACGCTGGTTGAGTTTGGTAAAGCTGTTATGGTGGGGGTTAAAATTTTTTCTATTTTTCCTTTCTTCAGTAAACCAAACCAAGGCATCTTCGTCACCTTCAACAAAGTAGTCATGTGCTATGGTTGAAGGTTATACGTAAAAGCTCTACTTGTTTACTGCGTGTACGAAGAAGCTGGATTGTGACTTTTGGAAATGAGGCATCCTGCGAAGAACCTTTTAATCAGCAAGGACAATTCCATTCAAGATACATTACATATTTACAAGAGATTTTTTCTTCGTGTCCCAAACATAAAACTACACGATCATTGTGTTTTATATAATTTTTTAGTGTTGTTAAATGCAAACTTTTAGTATTTATTTGTAAACGGGTGTTTTAAAAACATGTCATGTGGTATTAAGGCTTCCTGAACGCCGAGAGGGTCTTACCCTCTCACTGATGGTTTTTTGTCTAGCCTCCCCGCCCGGCGTTTAGTTTTAAATAAGAACACGCCAATTTCATCTAGGAGAAGGCCTCGTGTTCGGGGCTGTCTTATACAATAAGACATCGAAGGAAGTTATAGCATGGAACGTGAGTCCGTGTGTATGCATGTAACAGGTGACTAACGTAGCTAACAGACTTTCTTGCACGATCGGTAATCAGCGTAGATTGAAATGGGAGGGAAGAAGTGAACAATGAGAGGAGCATGAAAGAGTCGACCAGACTAGTGAAACAGTCTTATGGGAGGAATCCTGAGAGATACCTTTTCAACAAGCAGGGAAACCTGAAATGGGTGGATTTCTTCGTCAAGTTCTCCCTTTGTGTGTGTTTGCGTCATACATTTGTCAATACTGAATTTACCTGGGACGCCCATGGAAATTTTTACTTTTGTAGCCAGAAAATCATTTTATAAAGTTTCCTTTTACTTGTAAATTTACTGACAGGTTACCGGAACGGGCAATGACCCCATCTCAGCATTTATTAATGACGAGTTTTACAGCGTGTTGACATTTGACCTAACTTTTAAGATGCTGATAAGTCAATATCGTACATTCGTGGTATAGAGGTATATTACGTACGTTGTAGGAATCACCTTCAGCTTAACGTGTTTTACTGCTTGTAGACTGTAGGAAGGCTACAGGTGTTTTCCTTTCGTTCTTATTGGTATAGTGTTTTAAACCCAGTATAATCTATACTTAAGCTCAAACGTGTTCAAGTATTTTCACTTGTTTTCGATTTTTAGAGGGAGCTATCCTTAAAAATCGATAGACCGCCCGCAGCATTTCGCTATTTTTGTGTTTTTGTGTGTTTTTTTATCTGTTCCATGAAAAGATACAAGGGCGCATTGAGGAGAACTGTAATGGGGTTGAAGGTGGGAATAATGACGAGATTTATTTCTCGCCCTCCCCACCCGGGCCCTCAATCTTACTTCTTATTGGTTGGTGGCTGGTTCTCGGTGTGTTATGTTGTCAAGGTTTTCCATAGTGGTTTTATATCCAAAGCGGACAGGTATTCATTTTAATGCAAATAATACCTGCTATCTTAACTTGTATAATAGAAAGGTTAAAATTAAGTTCATGATTATAGGTTTGATTGTATTTATTTACCCCAATAATAATAATAATTCAGTCTATACTCCCAATTGTAATGATTCATATTAAACCGTGACATTCTGATTCTGTGCCCATGCTAAAGACAGTTCATTGCAAAGAAATGGCAAGTTTTTCCCAGCCTCCAATACCACCCGCTTACGATTCTCTCGTCAGGACCCAGCGTGTAAGAAATTCTGGTTAGTGTGTTTGTTCCATACGCCACTGTTCAGCTCAGGTTAGTAAAGGTTAGGTTAGCCTTTGTATCATTTTATAGGAGAACTGCACCCAACAAGAAGACACAAATTGTACAAATGGGGTGAGCAAGAGTTTACCTTACCGAAATAATTGTGTCACTCGCTAATTTTCATGATGCTCATATGAAGTTCTTTTTTCCCGATCTGTCAAGAAATTTAACAACGATAGTAGGTCAATAGGAAGGAAAAAAATTCGTTCAAAAGGTCGATGACGGCAGGCGCTCTTCGAGTGTCAGCGGTTGCGATAATTAAGCAGCTGTATATTATGTAATGGTATGATTATATAACAACCTTCGTAACAACAAAGATGGCTTCCCAAATTCCCGGTATATTCCACTGCATTTTGTCGCGCATTTATAGAAATAAAACATATGCGATGTTACAAGGCTACTTCTTATTTACCAAAAAATACCGTATGCTATGTACCTGGGAACGGAGCATCAAGGTAAAGGACTGTTATCTTCTTTTGGGAGTAGATTGGAGCGCCACTGTAATAGATGTGCGAGAAGCTTATCTGAAGCTCGCCAAATTATATCACCCGGATTGTGGAAGAAACACGGCTGATGCAGCAAAATTTTCAAAAATAGAACATGCTTATAGAGTGGTCATGGAACATGTAACAAGTGCGTCCCAGAAAGGCTCAGAAGTAAGCGATCAAGAGTTCGAGAAGGAGATATTTGATATTCATCACACGGCACCACAACATAGGTACTGTCTTCCACCAACTGTTATCAAATTTACAAACAACGAGTGGGTAGATGGAGATCTTTTAGCAGCAGGAGGGGGAAGGTCGCTTATTGTCAGCTCAGCTAAGTTCATGTCTCTGAGACCTTCAAATCATTCCCCAACCCTGTTTTAGACAAAATGTTTTTTTTCCACTTCTTTGTCGATATAATCAATATAATTACCACTTTTTTCGTTTAAGACTAGGAAGGGTTGTAGGTTTTGAACTCAGTAGATGTAAGTCGTCCTTTCACGAGCGTGGGTCAAAGAAAACGAATCTGAGCCTCTTTAAAGCATCGCACCTCACACCAGTGGTTCGATTCCCTATGTTGACCGTATGATTTTTGTTTTTCCCACGCTCATGAAAAGACAAGTAGCCTTTTCTTTTTTTCCGTTTTGTTTTGTATACGTTTTGAAGTAAAGCTTCATAGGGGGAAATGAACTCTTCTCAGGGCCAGGTGTCGCTAGATTTGATCTACATTGCACTTATGAATTTTTGTCCTTTATATGAAAGTTTCCGGGGGCAAAAGTCAAAATAATCTGACAAATCTTCAGTCAAGGACCGATTTAATTCAAGAAGTTCCTAACATCTTCTATCTAGCCAAATGGATTGAGAGGTCCACTATGGTTGTTAGCTGGATGTTTTTCTCATTAGTCTTCAGTTCAACTTCAGTGACCTACTTGCAATTAGATGAGTGGTTTGTTTGTAGACAGGACAGTAACATGAGAGTGTCCCCCTCACACCATAATCCTCCAGGTCTCCACTCTTTGCATTGATATTACATTCATCTTGGAGGAAGTTGATCGCAATTTTTTAAAAATAAATCAAATTCCTCCACTGGAAAGTAGAACCCAATTTGCCTTGCTTCCAACCAATGGCTTTCATAGCTTAGTTATTAGTTGCACCTAACTAATATCTGGGAGGCACAGGTTTAAATCCTGTCAAAGTCTAAAATTTTTCAGGCTTCTTTCCTGCAATTGCTCAAATTGCAGCTCACCTGCAAGAATCATTTATTTGCTTGATTTTTGACTGCTGGTCAAATGAAATTTATTTCATCAAAAATTGTGATCACATTCATCGTCACCCTAAATAAGGCTTTGATGAAATTTTTCTGGTAGTCTATCACTTGAGTTATTTCACCTTTTCAATTTGATTGTAAAATTGATTTTCAGGCAATACTTAGAATATGAGGGAATTGGATTTGGCTCACCCTCCAAGAGACAGAAGCAGTATCAACAGCACCGTGTGCAGAGAGCTTCAGACAAAGTGATTGATCATAAATATGGGCACTTGGGAGAGCAAGAAACATCCATTGCAGAACCTGAAAAGAGGGCTATAAGGAGATCAAAGCACTCCAAGGTCATTGACAGACTAGTGGAGGACCTCATTCAGGAGGCCATGTCCAAAGGAGAATTTAAAAACCTAGCAGGAAGTGGAAAACCACTTAAGCTTGAGCAGGATGTCTATATTGGTAGGTAACATACCCTTGATTAGATTGGTAACGAGTTGCTTCTATGGATGTTGTGCCAATGTAGTAGATGATTAGACAGCAAAGAAATCTTCTGGTATCAACCCTTGATGAAGGTTGTGTTTATTTGGGGTTGGAATCATGATTCATTCTCAGTCATCTCCATAGCATGGCAGCCACTGTTGCTGGTATAAGATTTGAGATATAATGGTTAGGGAGAAAAATTGAGATGGGGACTTCTCCAAACTTCCTTTCCCATCTTTTCTTTCTTTCCCACTCATCCCTTGCCATGTGTTATCCATGTGTTATTAATACAACCTGGCTGGAGTTATTTTAGTTCTAAATAAATTATTTTGCAGGCCTCAAATATTTTATAATATGTAATTGTAATTTTTAGGAAAAGGGGTCATGTCATCGTTTTCTTAATTAATATGTTAGTCAATTATTTATTATCTTCTTGAGTGCCCTTCATTCAATTTAATTACATACACAATTTTTTTTTTAATTTACATGATGCTTTCAGATTCAACAACTCGAAGGCTCAATAAAGTATTGATCGATTCAGGATTTGCACCCGAATGGATTGCGCTTGAGAAAGAGATCAGACTTGATATTGAGAGACACAGAGAGAACCTTTTGCAGAAACGAAAGAAACTGGGACCTAGTCCTTTGACTTTACTTTCAACCGATAAGTGGGAGCGTCATCTTAAGGAATTTCACGACAAGTTGCGGGACACTAATAAAAAAATCGATAAATTCAACATGATCGTACCCATTCTAAATAAACAAAAAGTTCACGCAAACTTTCATAAGGAAGTCGATAGAGTCGTCAAGAATTATGGATATGGAATAATGGAATCTAACGTCGAAGATCCTCGCAAAGACGCCGGTGACGAAGAATCTGAAAGTTTTACCTGGAATTTCCTCCAGAAACTTCTGGGAAACTACAAGATCGGGTTTCTGGAAAGATTCACCGAAAGCGAAAAGACGATAAAATAGTTTTAGTCAGAAACCATTTATTTAAATACAATTTTTTGATATTCGACTGTCCGAGGTAGGATGACCCTGCGAGATAGCTGGCATAGAAAGGGAAGAAGAGATGAAAAGTATATTGAGGGCGAAGAGCATGAGAATCATGTTCGTCGCTCTCAGACCCTATCGATTGTGAGTAGCACTTTGTGCCCCCCGCGCGCTCAATATATTTTTTACCGTCTCCTCTCCCTTTACATGCCGACCAAGCGAGCTTTCATTAGGTAGAAACTTTGTTTTATTCCTGTCATTGCTTAGCCTTGTGCGGGAGAACCACGGGCCCATTCCTCTTCAAAAGTTACAGCCACTTTCGTGCCCAGGGTGCCGATGCCCTTCCAAAATGGGAAAAGTAGCCTGGGGATGAGGATGCCTCTAAATCAAAATGAGAGATAACCGAACCGTTTGTCACGTTCGCTAGCTTATCTCTTCTTTGTTCTTTCGTCATACCACTATCATGCCGGTCGGTATTATTTTTTCAATTAACTACTCGATCACAAGAGCAAACTTCATAACGAAATTTGGAATTGGAATAAATATCAAACAATCGCGAATTACTTTTTTTTAACATGGTTCATTTCTAAAAACAAAAACAAAAAAAGAGGAAGAATATTAAGGCTTGAAAAAGTGCGGTAAACATTTTCCGCGGATCATTTTCGATCATCTGCAGGAAACGTCGAAGACAACACCTGGATTATTTCAATGACTATTCAAAGCTTTCCCACAGTAATCTTACCTTCGGCCAACAAATGCGTTATCGTTAGAATTATCTCCACGGCCTCTAGTGCATGGATTAGCAGATATGAAACGTGGAAAAATAATTAAAAGTTATAACCCAAGTAGGAGCAGTCAATGAAACCGCCAACAGGCATTAAAATTTTTTGATATTCATAAAAAGTACTTTACACGATTTTCAAAAAAAGTTCAAATTTTCTCAGAAGGTGTTCTTTTTTCGATGATATCAACTACTGATATCGTCCTTGAAAACGCCACTTACCGCGAGTCGCATTACAAAGAACAGCTTTGAATAATTGCCTGTGTCGCCATCAAAAACCGGAATCAGGAGAAGCCAATCGAAAGCAGAATTTCCCGGGGCATGCTATAAATCAGTTATTCTTTTATATTATTGTTGACACACTTTTCTTTGTAGCGCTAAAATAAGATTACTTACGAGTTGTAGATGAGTTGTCCCATTGGTTCGTAGATAAACGAAAGCCCAGGGCTTCGAGTTATTAAATATGCCACAATTCAGTGATAGATAAGAAGCATTTCATCGTCTCCGCGGCTTTTTGATAGAAATGGCCACTGAAACGTACGCCACATTTAGGTAAATCTTGATGTATTCTTTAGATCGCTCGCATATTTCAGTAGCGATTCCATTCAGTTCTGGTGACAAAAGACTTCTGGGCAAATGTCAGGTATCTAGATCGTTTATGTTCTATAATATTGAATTTTTGAAGCTTCCAGCGTTCCTTTTAGAACAGCCTAGCTCTGACTGATAAATCAAATCATTACATAAACCGAGATGAAGTTTTCTCTAAATTAAATCTTTATCGAGGACAATATTTGTTCGCGGTTTAACAACAGAGGCATTGAAGAGCAGTAAACAAATTTCTGCTAAGAAACTCGAAGTTCAGACTTTCTCTTAAGCCTAAGAAACTTCTTTTACTGAAATTTTGAAAGAGGTTTTCATTTCAGCCGGGTTGTTTTGCCTTTGCGCAAGAAACTAAAATTTAAGGCTGACACACATTACAGCTTCCCAGCCAACAAAGGCATGCCTTTGTTTGACAGCTGGTGCGTGCCCAAGATTCATCTGTCCATACTAAAATCAGAAAATACTCTTCGTTCACAGAAGGCGAAGATACCAAAGGCCAAGATCAGCTAATTACTGGCTCGGTAAAATGGTTTAATCTTGCCAAAGGGTTCGGTTTTATTACAAGAGACGATGCGAAAGGAGATGTCTTTGTTCACCAAGTAAGACGCAAACCTATTTCAAGAAGTTTGATATGATCGCCGTGTTTTTATGCTGTTGAGAGGATTGTCTGATTTTCTATGTTGCATCAACGACGATATTGGGTATTTTTGCGGTGTACAAGTATTACTCAAAATTTTTGTTTTTGTGTTCTGAAAAGCACTTCCAGTAATCAATTATTCATTGCTTAACGATAATTATTTCTCCGGCTCAAATTTCATCTGACCTGAACAAGGAAAAAAAGTGACAGTTATCTATATTTGGTGATTTATTTTGTCGCTGGAATTTGCCACAAAATCAGAAAATATTTTATGCTTAACATATCTTTGTCCAACTCTATTTGGAAACGCGACATTAATTATAGAACTCGTATTTTCATATTTTCATGTAAAAGCCCTCTAGTTTATTAACGGCCGTTCGTCTGAGGATTCCTGTTTGCTGTTACCAAATATTTCGTCTTCACTGAAAATTTTTTGCTTGCATCGACGCTCCATAATTTTTTATATTGATTCATTTTACAAGTTTATCATCAATGATGAAATACTCGCGTTCAATTTTAATTTTGTTATACTTAGTTCTTTCTTTTGTTTTGTCTACTCTTCCCACAATGGCCCCCGGTCGCGCAGTTAATTTAATTTTCAGGTCTATTCATCTCCTAAAGCCGAAGGAACTTGATCTCCGCAAAAGAATTTTTTTTTTCTCAGAAATAGCGTATGAAATTTAAAGCCGGACATTTTCTGTTCAGAATGTTTACACCAAAAAGTATCTTGGGTTATTCTGGCGTGTATTTTTTGAAATACCCTCAAAAATCTCGTCTAATTTCTAACTCTGCAGCTGAAATTTATTAAACCTTAGACAGCTGTAAATATTTCTTACTGTTTGAATATTATTTAACTTTGCGCGTGCATACAGTATGAAGAAAAACAAACAACAGCTTTGTTCTCACTGCATAAATTGCCGATCACTAAAGCTAAGGTTGAAAGAAGCGCGCCATCGATCAAATTTCGCAGAAGAGAGATTGAACCTACTGGGGTTATGAGAACAGGTTTCCCGCAAAAAATAAATGTTTGTTTTTTGGTCCGTTTGTATTTTTGTATTTGTGACCCGAGATGCCGCCAGGATTTCTTTTTTCAGTTATATGATGACTCATTGTTTTTGTTATAAAAAAATATTTTTGTTTTTCTTTCTGAGGTCGCAAAACTTGAAAGGTTTTATAACTTTTGTTTTTATTTGGTTCCTTCTCAAGCCTAGCGCCATCCAGTGAAACTAGGCGAAATAAAAGAGTATGGAAGACAACAACTCCGTCCACCTTTGGTCCAGAATTGACCGCAAATACTGCTTGGTTCCTACTAAATTTTCATTCACTTACACTTACTTAAGCGTGACGTATAAAGCGTATTTTACCGGCAATGAGGCACTTTGTGATGTCAGTTTCAAAGGAATGATAATTCTTGTATATATTAACGGTTGATCTCGGACATACTGCGCTAGATGAATTTTAAGATGACGCTTTCACCCTGAAAACGACTCAAAAGTTTCTTGTTCGCACCAGGAAACTGATAAATGTTTTCCGTGCTCACTAAAACGATTACCGTTTGCAAAAAGGATTGAATGCATCCTTGGGAAAACGCAAAGTAATGGTAAGCGATTTCAAAAAAGGTCGGTTTTCAAACTGTTTTTCTCACTTGAACGCAAAGCTGCTGTTTTCAAATACATCCGTAATGAAGGGTGTTTTCGAAGAGTTTCGAATTTGTTGGACAATGATTGACCGTTATCAGCGGAGACGGTGGGCTAGACAGTGGAAAATACAATTGCGTTCTCAAAACATTTATTTATCTGGCGTGGTTTAGACTAGGCTTTAGAGTAAAAATACTCATTTCAGCCAATGAGAAACGAATTAAAAACTATTTTTATTTGTTCGTGGGCAGGCTTGCTTCGTGGGATTAGTTGAGTGCGCTTCTGATACATGTATCTAATGATGTAGCTTTTTATTGATGGTACTACGGCTGTCTACTCTATGGCTAGGGATTTTGTTTTCAACTGTTCATTACTTAACTCTTTGATCTCAATTCATTTTTAGAGCGCCATAAAATCAAAAGGATACCGCAGCCTCGAGGAAGGAGAGAAAGTTCAATTCAAAACAGTCAGTTCAGATAAAGGAACGATTGCTGTTTTTGTGACTTCCCCGGATGGCGGAAACGTCAGAAGCTTGTCACGAAAATGCCGCGTTAAGAAAGGCGCGCGAAAGTACACGAGTCTCTGTTACAACTGCAACATGAATGGACACAGAATGAAAAACTGTCCGTATGCGAGGCGAGTCGAACGAACATGTCACAAATGTGGGTCGCAAAGTCATCTGATAAGAACGTGTCCAAAGCTGCTGGAGCAGCTAACTGAATTACGCTCTGATCAAAGAAGAGAAAGACATAGAATCTTTGATGAAAGGAACTTTTCACCTACCGACTCGGCAAAGCAGCCGCAAGACCACTCATAAGTTGCTTGCAAAATTCTCACCCTTTTCCTCGAGGAAAACGAACCTCACAGTAAACAAGGAGTTGATAGCAACGGGATGTGCATATTTCTTGTGAAATCCAGAGTTTCTGGACAAGACACATGACCGACGTCATAAGAGAGTGCAGTTGAGGGAATCTTATCAGGATCTTAAGAAGTCCTATACATGTGCAAGTCAAGTCAAAGAGTAGCAATACTTCTGCATGGTCACTTCATGCAAGAGAAATCGGAATACGCCCTGTTTGAGCGCCACCGGATCAGAGCCACTAGGATCCTGATCCGGTTCTACTACAAGTTGCTCTACGCGCAGATAAGAGGTCAATCTCGACGACCGTGAAAAAAATGTGGTTTTTTCAACAGAGTCGATAATATGAATTAACCACCGTAAAGAACTTCTAAGCTGATATTTCGAGCGTTAACCGTTGGTCAGGGCGAATGTAAAGAATTTTGGACATTTTGGCCGTTTCGATAAGGTATATAATGAGGTGGAACACCACAGCGTACTCTGGTGTGACACTCAAGCATTCTTAGGCCCCTAAATATCGGGTCCCTAAATATCAACACTCAAATGTAACGGGCTTAAAAGGCCTTGCCGCAGGCTCCAGAAGTCAGTGTTTTAGCCAAAATGGATTTTGTGCGGAAAATCAAATGAATAGATTCTCGAGAAAAAGGGAAATTATGTCCACTTCATCCGAACAAAAATACACCAGATACTTCCATTAATTTTGCCGTTTTATTGCCTTTTCCCCGTGTATATGTAGTCTACAAAACTATTTTAATCGGCAAAAACGGATGCTGCTAGTTGGTGACTGTTGGTATGGATAATGCACGATCCCTCTAAAAAAGAAAAGCAGAATAATTATTTTGTGAGAGAGAAAGTTTTTAGAATGTCATTTTTCTCTTTTAGTGCGTCGAAATAAGATGTCATTAAAAAAAATTGAATGACTCTTAAAAATATACTGATCCAATTATATTTCAGGAGTGGCGAAGGATAAGGAAGGATCTCGACTTTAATCTTTCTTTCCTTTCCTGAAAAAAACCGATAAATGTTAGTATCTGAGCAACTTCCCAACTATCATTCCCTTAGTTCAACATTGATCCTAACTCTGTAACTTGTTACTAGTTGCCTGTCGTCGGGTTAGGGGAGAGGTAGGTGCGTAGTTGCTCAGCTGCTGACGTAATCATTACATTATCCCTTTGCGCTTAGCGCGAAATTGTTTTTTAGCCTTTGAAGTGTCACTTACATTTCGACTGACAGGAAGAATCGACGATATCTTGCAGTTGGTAGAACAGTTTGTCAAAATCGTGAACTTTGATGACGTTCTCGTCTTTGCCCATAGCGATCGTTTTCAGCTCCTCGACCTTAATATTGTCACCAACACCGACAGCGATAATTTTGACTCCTTTTTCCTGCGAATTAAGAAGAAATCCATATGATATGGTAGGTCAGTAAATCCTCATGGCCGTGTGAGGACCCTGTTGGGGTGTTACATCGGCCAGTTTTGTCTTGCAACTTGTTTGCGCCGTTCTGATCTAACCGCACAGCGCACTTTCTAATGAAATCTATTTCCCGGCATCAGACACTAACCCGCGTGGAAAGTGGGAAGAACACGAGAAGAGTTTGTGCATTCCTCGAGTCGAAAGAAGAGTGACTTACAACCTTGTCGAGTGTTTTCCCGCTTTCAAAGGGGTTTATCAACTCGCGTGGCCAATTCCTCTTATCATTGAATTAACAATTAGACTATGAGCCTCCTATCCCCATCGCTTTATAGCCGATGATTTGGGCGCAGCCCAAATCAACTATAGATACGCATAGAAGTTCAGAGTGAATTATCTAATTGTTTTAATATGAACCTACAAGGCGTTCTAAACTTAGTAAAGAGACCGGCTCCTACTTATATATTATTTTGTTTACAACTGCACGCTGTTAGGCCACTCGCTTTACCTAGTGTCCACGGAGTAGATAGCGAATATTGCAGCCAATCAAATTACAGCATTTGCAATAGAACGCTCAAAGTAGATTTATACCAACAGAAAACAGATTAGATGATGACTTCTTACGCAGATTACTCAAAAAGACCCAAATCAAGTGAAATTATTCCGAGCCCAACAGCCGAGGAGTTGACAACTCAAATCTTGCCTGGTCATAAATCACACATAGACCTATCAAGAAATATTTAACAAACCAACCTTGAGTGGTGCCAGTACGACATCGTATGGTACACTGTCCGTATTGGTGCGTCCATCTGTTACCAAAACAAGCACATCCGGTGCTTGAGGTCGATCTCCACCCTCACTGGTAAAGAGCTCATCGTTGGCCTTGATCAGGGCTCTATCGGTGAAGGTTCTTGCTTCGAGCTTGTTCGTTTGGTCTAAAATACTTTTAACGATCACAGGTTCCTGCTTGTCCTCCTCGTTAAACTTTATTAGGATCGTGGCGTTGATGTTGTACACCATAAGTCCAAGATGCGTTCCACCGGGAGAGATGTTCATGCAATTCACAAGTGCCAGTGCGAAATCCTTGGATTTCTCAAACTCTATCTTTCCCACGCTTTTAGTTGCGTCCAGGATCACTGCGAGATCTAGAGTGCGAGTACATGGGATGGGACCTGGAAACAAGTCGTAGATATTGCATCAAATAACAGGTTAACCCTTTCGTTCAAGATCTATGGAAAATGGTATTTCTGACGAATGAGTCTGCGAATAAGGCAGAAATAAATATTTTGTCGGCACGAGATACGACAAGGCCTGGGCCTTAGGCCCGAGCATCATGGGTAATGATGCAGTGGTATATAAGGGAAAGTATAGCACGTGGTGTCCATCTAGGCCTCAGAACCAACCGTTCACCTCTGGCTGATGACAAATTTATTTTAGTTTGAAAACATATTTTCTTTAGCTGTGAAGCCTCGTAGGATGGGCTGCCAACTGCTCTGAGTTTGGGCCATGGTTCCTACCCAGATTTCCTGTCATGTTTTTTCCTCAAAGGGGTTTTTTCTGGCAGGTTTTTTCTGGCCTCTGTATAACCGTAGTTATGTCCTTGTAAGCGGTTGCCCATCTCTGTTAATCCAGACTTGGTGAAGTTTGCATGCTAGTAATGTATACCTTTTTTTTTTTAATGTGTAAGGAATTGACTGTATATCAGGATTGTATATGGTATATCAGTTGCGAATATATGTATGTATGCATTCCCCGGACTATATATGCCTCGGGTTGGTTCTCGGCAGGCTCCCCTAAATAAACTTATTTGGTGTACACTACTTTGTTATTTGTTGTGTAGTGGAGACAAAATCATTTTTTTTAGTGAGCGGCATCTGCGTTGTACCCCTATTCTAGTGAGAAGGGTTTAGAGTCGCTTCTTAGTCCAGCACAATCCTTACCCATGCTATTCAAATATTCCACTGTAATCAGTATATTATGAACAAAATATTCTGCGCTAGCTCTGTGATGAGTCATTACCCATGATTTATCAGAGTAGAGGCACGGTTGAGGTGCCATAATGACTGTTTTCTCTGCTTTGCCAGACAAGGCAGTCGGTTTTGAAAATGTTTGCGAGATTATTTGGTGGGTTATAGAATAGAGACCAATAGCATTCTTTGCTGCTCGAATGATAAACTGAACAAAAATAAAGCTTCGAGGAGTCGCTTACTACAAGACAAGTGTGTAATTTCCCCCAATTTACCTCTCTGTTCATTGTTTAAAGCAAATATATTCCATCGACACCTGCGCCAGTTCAGTTAAAAATCAGAGAAGACGCCAAAAAAGGTGACGCGAACATCTGTGACACAATTGCCCGCATCTCGTATGCCAAACTGATATTGCTACTACATTAATAAAAATTTTCACCAATAACAGAAAATGCAAGCTATGACCATTAAATACTTCCGATACAGTATCAGGGTCCTAGCCCTTATGAGATATTTTAAACTGCCCTTAAAGGGGTCAAGTTGTTTGTTACTCACATGGAAACTCGTTGCATGGCTCAATTTTTTCGTTCGGCCCGACGCAGTCTTTTCCTCCATGTTGAGGTGGAGGATTGGTACAGGTTCGCACCAGTTTCTGCGTGCCACCTCCACATGTCTTGGTGCATTCTGTGTCAGGTTCCCAAGGTGTGTAGCCTCCATCAATTGCTATGTAAGAATTGAATGGTAAGACAATTAGTTGGATACTGAGCTGAATGTCTCACCAAATTTTTTCTTATGTTGAGTTTGGGCTCTCGAAGAGAAAAAAGAAAGCGAGTATCGATCCAGGTATGATTACTAAGGCATCAGGAACAAGAGAAAAGCAAAGAAAGTTAGCACGAAGCATTTTTATTATTATTATTATCATTATTATTATTATTATTAACAATAACGATTATTTTTTAAACGCAATACACTTTATCAACTTCTGACCCAAAAATGGGAAACATGAAGCACGTTGAGAGCAGATAACTTTAGAGATTGCGACTTCTATAAAGGTTTCAAGAAAAAGAGAATCCCTTTCAATATATTTTAGGACTAAGGGTATTTGGTCTCCCGGAAGTGCTTCATGTTCTGCGAGTGTTGCTTGGTGAGATTGACACAGCGTGTGTGCTATATCTGGATCCTTTGGGGGATTTACGATAAAGTGAGGAATTGAAACAAGATAAATCTTCTTTATTTTTGTGGAGAAACAGAGATCGAACTTGAGGAGAGAAACGACAATTAATCCGAAGTTTTACGCGTCTTGTTCAGCTCAAACAGCGACGGAGAAGGTGTTTTTTAGATTCCACTTAGTAAAGATTTTTGTCAAAACTTACGACATTCAGCCAGCTTGCAATCTTGTACATCCTCCGCTGACCCTTCGCAGTCTTTGCCACCATTTTCTGGTGGCGGATTGGTGCAAGTCCGCTCCCTAACCTGTTTACCAGTTCCACAAGTCTTGTCACACTGAGTCCAGTCTCCCCAATCACTCCATTGTCCATCAGTGGGTGCGTTTGGTTCTAAAATTTCATGAAAAAAATGAAACTAATGACATTTTAACGAAGTATAATGAAATTAAATAAGCCGAGATAGAAACGGCTCAGACCTAGAAAGAGGTCATTCATTCAGAAAAAATGTAATTTGCTAAAAGAAAAAAATTGAAAAATGATGCGAAATGATGTGCAACATTTTAGCGTAAATCAAAAGGTTTTTACGTAAGTGTTCCGGAAGAAGAGTAAAACATGTATCAAAGGAGATACCTTCCTCCAGAACGTAGACGTAATTTGTTTTCTGTTTCCCAACACACTCTTCCTCAGAGTTGATATCGCAGGCTCCGAAATCACTCATAATGCATTTATCATCTTTGGCTGCATCAAACATCGCATAACGATTTTTGGCATTGTCTCCACTCCAACACTCGCCGTAAAATTGAAGAGCAAACGCATCGTAGCCATTTTCGCGCGCTTTTTCAGCGCACAGGCAAGCAAGACTGAAAATATAGAATGATAACTAAATATCAAGCAGGGTAGATACCATGAACCACATAGTCCATAATTACCACAGTCTGAATTTAAGCTGTTGAAAGATTTAAAGGGGTAATGATAATGATAATATCGGTATTACTTCGGGAGGATGTAATTGCTCCACTCAAGTGTTGCTTGAGGAACGCTTTCAAATCAATAAAGAATAACAGCCCAGTTCAATTTCCTATCTCCTTACAATATGTATCAGGCTAGAAGGATGCAGTGTTTTTTATTCAAGCCCATGAAAAAAGGAACCTTTTTTCCGCATTTGTGATGGTATGGAGAGAAACTAGATGACTAAGCAAGACAATTGATTATCGTCCCTGCTTAAAGAATAACAAGGGCTGATAGACTATGGAGTGTGCTCATCATTTTCTTTTGCTTGGCTATAACCATAAATCAGTAACACAAAAATATTACAAGACCATCTGACGCGTACTTGTGTAACGACTCCGGATACTTGTTCCAATCTAACTTGGGTGGGATAAAGACCTTGCTCTTTTTATCACGAATGTTGACCATTTGATTCGGGAGGGCCCTTTTACCATCCACCAGATCTCTATAACATCCAACCTTTTTCCAGGTCCTTTTGCAGGTTTTGTAATCTTCGTCTGCATACAAAGCTAGAGACAAGACAAAGAAGACATTCGCGAGAAAACTTCTCGGTTACCTTGAGAGATAGAATGTGTCTTTTTTTTTGGACGAATGAGATACACGTCAATTATGGTAAAACTACCGAGTAAACTAGTTGAATATCTTGAAGAAGTTGTGCGTTCGCTAAATAGAGTGTTAGATAAGGAGACTACACCTTTTGCTGTTCATTACGAGAAAATGTGCATTCATTTGCGTGAAAAGGCGAACAATTGCGAGTCTAACTGCAAAAGACGATTATTTGCGCGTGAATCAGATTCAATAACGATTTTTGCATTTTAATCAGCATTCAATAACAGTTTTGGGCATTCTTATGCGCCATTCGTCAAACAAAAGAGAAAAATCTACTTTCGTTTGCGCTAACATTCAAGTCATCATACACCATCTTGAAACTCGATAGAGACAATACACACAATATAGTGCATAAACCATTCATTAACATTTTTATCACACTGTTTGCAATTCAATAGCATTCCTGGACGGCATTAGTATGAATAAGACAATCATTAATGTACTCGTACAAACAATTCAGTGTTTTTTATATTCAATATGCAAGTAGTGATTTTCAACTGAACACCGATTTTGCCAGAACTTGCATTCAGTAAATTTCGTCCCCTTCATTCGCTTTCTAAAGGTTTTCTGACCGCAGGCAAAATCCCACGAAGAAACCGAATATCACTTGAACACAAAGAGAGAATCGTGAGCGGATTTGAGGACGAGTAGGAAGATTATCTTGTGGTCGCGGACACACTCGGAGTGAACCGATCAACGGCAAGAGGCATTGCATGTGGCGCGCTACATCAGAGAGGGCAGGATCCAGGAAAGACCACAAGGAGGTAGAAACAACGTGCGCGTGGACGAAGAGATTGCCTAGAAGAAATCATAAACGAAAACTGTTTACTCACACTTGCTCGGATAAACAGTGAACTTAGGAGACGGCTACCACTAAAACCTCAGATCCATGACCGCACCGTGGCAAGGACATTAGACGGGATGCTTTTCCGAGTGAAACTTGCAAGGCCCCTCCCTGCGGACAGAAACAGACCTGATGCGATGAACAAGCGAGTGGATTACGCCACCTGGTTTATGAATCATGCCGTAGTACGCCACTGTGTGTTTGTCGACGAATGCGGCTACAACATCTGGACGGCCAGAAGCCACGGTAGAGCGCGGCAGGGAGAGAGGGCGTACCGTCAAGTGTGCGGCCAGCGAGGACAAAACTTGACCGTGACAATGGCAATTTTGCCAATCAATGGACTTGTGTTTTCCTTAGTAGCTCTTGGCGGAATGACTGCTGCGCGTTTCGATAACTTCCTGGCACAGGCGAGGACAAATCTAGATCCCGACGAGGTGATCTTTGTGTATGACGGAGCACCGGCCCACGGAAACCCGATCATTCCCGCCCCAAACACAGAGCTTAAAATGCTTCCTCCCTACAGTCCTTTCCTAAACATCGTGGACCAGGCAATAAGCTGTCTGAAAGCGGCGATCAAAGGCTGACATCTCGCGTCCGGAAATTCAAAGACGCAAGGATAACAGAGATGAGGCCAGAGCCGGAGGAATCTCACTGGGGGAGTTTCGAACACAACAACTACTTGAAGCTCTGTACAGAAACATTGATACTGTGACCGCGGCTAAAAGTGCGCAATGGTACCGCTTTATGCAGACCTATCTGCCAAAATGTTTGAATAGACAGATTATTGAAGGGTAAACTGAAATTCAAAACAAGATAATTTTGGAATAGGTATTTTTCAATTGGAATTCGATGTTTGAATATTGAAAATAAAAAAAGCTTAATTGTTTGTACAAGCGCATAAATGATTGTCCTATTCATTCACCAATGCCGTCCAGAAATGCTATTGACTTGCAAACAGTGTGATAAAATGTTAATGTATGGTTTATGCACTAGATTGATTATGTATTGTCTCTATTGACTTTCAAGATGGTGTAAATGACTTGAATGTTAGCGTAAATGCAAGTTTTCTCTTTTGTTTGACGAGTGACGCCTAAGAATGCCTAAAATTGTTATTGAATGCTGATTAAAATGCAAAAATCGTTAATGTATCTGATTTCTCGAAATGAACAGCAAAAGGTGTAATTAAAACCGCCAGTAGGGTCTTATTTCTAAGGAAGCCCATCTCAAGGAATTATGAAAACTCTTGGTATCAGGTCTACCAAGAATAGTGTGTTTTACAGGAATTTTCAAAATCGATAGGAAATGTCTCGTGAGAACAATTTCTGGCACAATGATTTGTTATTTTTACACCCTACTGGGACCTCCCCAGACGAACGTGTTCTAAAAATAAAAAATATGTATTACTTTAGGTATAATGCCTATTAGATATTTTAAATTTATACCACTTGCTACCATTTATCACCCTGTTGCTCAGGACATTTTACGCAAATTGAACTGAGCCTTAGGAATAATAAAGACGGAGTATATGGCACTGCTGTTGGTCGATGAGTTTGTGCAAATAGTGTGCGTCTTGCTTAGCTTTGTTTGAGTGTCTCTTTTGTTTATATTCCTGCCTCATTTCCTGCATTACCTCATTTCGTGAACACGACTATATTCTGTGTCTGCCTTCAGTTAAATCAAAGCATTTCAGCTTGGGCAGGGCGATGGAGACTTCATATCATCATTAAGATAATTAATTCTCTCAGATTGGTACGAAAATACAGCTGTGAATCCCAATTGGAAATACGAGAAATTCTCTATGACGTCCCCGTTTTACTAATGCATTTATCTCACCAGGCCAAAATTGATCTGCGCTGCTCATCGAACTTTTCATTTCATGATGTTAACTTTGTCGATCTGAATTAGATTGCTATGACAGTCGAAAACACAGCTTCCTTTTTTTCTTTCCCAAAACGTAAATGACACTGCAAATATGGCACAAAATTCATGTGCTTTAAGTATTTGCTGTAGATAAACGCGGGGAGCAGATACCTCTGAGGGGAAACATGTATTTGATTAGCTTACAAAAGTCCTGGATTTGCTTACCTGATCTCGCACATGCACCCCCAATGAAGCAGAAAAGTATTACAACGTGAATCCTGACCATGATTAAGCTTTCTAGGAGAGAGAAAGTTCTTGTGAATATTTTGAACAAAAGGCTTACACATGAGATTTTTTTTAAGCTATGCAAGTTTACTGAGCAGTGGTGAAAAATTTGAGTAACAGCAGCTTACTTCTTAGAATCTTTAACCTTGAGATCAAATGCTTTCTATCTCGTTTCCATGGGATAGATGTAGCTCCTATTACAATGCCCAACAATTAAGTGTATTTCTAGTTACTACGACAACCTATTTTCATCTTTCAATTATAATCCAAGAAATTTTAGTGGACAATTCATCGGTAAACACGAAGCACACAATAAAAAGCTTGTCCAAATTAACGTATAAATTTGCTATGGAAAGCGACTCCCTCGTCAGAACGAGACGAAAAGGTGTCTATATTTATTTAAATGATCATATCAAGGACGTTTTTACAGGTGTATAATTATAAAATTGTCTGGCTCTGACCGCTGACAGGAAGAAGACTTAGCATTATAGACCCATACATCTTTAATCAGTAAGACGAAGTTTGTAAAGCATGAATCCTTGCCAGCCGGAAGTTTCGAAAATTTTCCAAACACTCCCCTGAGGTACATATTGTTTCATAATCAGCAGGATTCCGGGTGGGGGGTAGGATCATGCCTCCTTTTTCCCATAGTTGATATGCAGTTTCTCCAGTGATGTCCAAAAATAGCTTGGCACGCTAGCTGGTAATAAAAGTTAAGGCTTTTTTTTAAATAGATCCCTTTGTTCCCTTAAGATAAAAAGTCAAGTTCTTTTCTTTCTCAAAACCCCAGGAAGACTTCAAAACATGTTAACAGCGGGCGGTGTTGATTCGTTTTTTCCGAAGCAATTACAGGCTTTAACAAAAGACTAACATCCGAAAAAGCCATGAGATTTCGCACCAACTTAGAGTTGCTCGATGGAAAAGCTTTTTACTCAACACCTGTTTGTATTTCTCGAATGACAAGTGATGCGCAGCCGCGAAATTAAAATTTCTGGAATCAAACGTAATCTTCTGTTTGCAAATAAGCATTATTAAGAGATTATAAACTTTCTACAATCCCTTAGCATGATATCTTTCTTTGGAAACAGAGGCATGTCTAAACCATGCTTTGTAGTCTCAGTTATTCGGTAAAAGATAGAACAAGATGAACCCAATTTATGACAGATTAGTGTTCATTTTCTTCAGGTAGTAATTCTAGGAGCGATTAGTTCTCTTTCAACTTTTTTCACGTAGCTGAATTTTTTCTGGGCGCTTCATGAAAATGAAGCCGGGGGCAGAGGCAGCGCTAACTTCAACGATCAGCGCTTTAATTTGTGGGCGTGCAGCACTGGCTGTGTAAAATATAATCGAATTCTGCTAATCTCCATCTTTTAAAAACAAGTTGATAAGTCAGGCTGAGAATATCAAGGTTTACGTTTCCTAGCGAACACTAAGTATGTGTTAATTTTTAAAACTTTTTATACGGCACGAAAAGGTGAAGAAGTTCGGCCATCCATAAAATGAAGTGTTGAGACAAAATAGGTTCTTTTCAACAGAGGTATGCCGAAACCGTGAGATTTATTTCTCGGATCGTCGGCGATAGGGTTAAGCCCAACTCATCAGGTCCTGGTAACCTACATTCAATTCTGACTATACAGCAGATTAACACAGAGAATTAGCCTTTATGGAGTAAATCTTTTAAAACCATTTTCCTTTTTTTCTTCATATAGTTGTCGGAAATTTCTACAGACAGTTCAGTTACCTTCGCTTTGGCTGCACGGCTGAATTTCTTCTATGTCTTTTGAAAAGGATGTTCCCTGTTCTTAGGTTTTCGATTCCTAGGTTTCGAGGCTTAACATCATTTCGTTTGCAAATATTCACCCACCCCTACATACACTCCTCAGACAGTTTAAAAGTTTAAAATTGCAGTTTAAAGTTTCTCCCAAGGATACAGCATATGAATTCGCAGAACAGTTTGAGCCACTACCCTAAAACTTTCAAAACTATTAAAAATGACGGAGAAGAGGGGATAATTTCCTATAGGTGCTATGAATCGCACCATACTATCAATCTAGCCTGAAGACAGCTTTTTTATGCGAGCTATAGAGACAAATTTGATACCTTTTAGTACGCAATAAGGAATTTTTTGCCTCTTTAACACATTGAACTCAAATCATATACCTGAGCGCCGTGACAAGACAGTATCCGTTTGTAAATGCACTCTTTGTTGTCAGATAAATTCAGCCCTAAGGTCCCTCTATGGAATAATAATAAAAAAAACTTACCGGCTTTTGTTCGCAGACGTCACAGACACTTTGATTTGTGTGTAAATGAATTGTCGTGCGTCTTCTTTGAACTTTATTGCAAAATGAACAATTAAAATGACTAACGACCGTCAAAAACCAGTCGGCTAATTTAAAACCGCGGAAACTTTGAAGAAATTAAAAACCCTTGATATCGTGCTTACTTTCATTCAAGCGGTCTAGAAAAGATTCATATGAGTTTTTAAACGCAATTAGCGAGTGATCAGTTATCGGAAATGAATTCCATTTTCACACAGTTGAAAATTTCATATTTTTCAGGTTTATTTAAACAAACAACCATGCAGCCACAAATCGACCCATTTTCCTAAACCCTTTACAATGTTTCAATGTGCATGTTACCCAGATTTAAACGTTGAACACTGCCAAAAGGGAAAAAACCTAACCAAAAGCTTTTTATTTTCAAAATTTTATTTTTATTTTGACTTAATGTTGTGCTAAAGTAAACTAAACTCATCGCAATTACGTAGCTCCTCGTTGAAAGCGATAATTTTCAATCAGCCATTAACCTGTAAAAAACAAACACATTTGTTGCGGCAAATTACTATGAAATCATGAAAATGGAAATAATTTTACTTCGCTGATCAAACAAGTACCAAAAATCATTAAAAGAGCAGACAGAATAGACTCGTTAAGCTAACTGCTAATGAAATGAATATTTAACAAATTGATGTTTTTAGGTCTTCATTTCCCACGGCTTAGGTTTCATTGTATTTTTTTTGAAGTGTGGTATTATGACAATTTTCATGTCGAAAGACGTCGTCAATTTTTTTTAAGTGTTGGCAAATTGATTTTATAAAGATGTTAAAAGCCATTGAAAATAAATCTTTATACCACGCCCAGCCCTTGACATCAAGTAAATGGACTGTTGTAAAGAGGGCATGTGTTTAGTCACCATGCATTTTGTCAAATAATTCATCTATACCACTGTGTGCCAATTATACGCGAGGGTGGAAAAGCGAAAGGGAATATGCTCTAGTTCTAAAACTTAATTTCTAGACTTGAATGAAGCTTTTAAATCTCGATTGTATGTCATTATATTTCATTCTTTAATTTTCATGTTCTTTAAAATTTAGCCCTAAACAAATAAGAGGTAAAAAACGAAAAATTCATAACGCAGAGAGTGATGGCGACCCATTCACGCACGGAAAATGTGCAATATGGCTTAACTTCCTAGTCAGGTTTAGCTAAAGCTTAAGATTATCGCTGTGTTGCATTGTGTCTAGTACATAAACAGAAAAAGTAAGTAAGTAAAGTAGTAAGCCTTTATACGGGCCCAAGTGGCCCATGGGGCCGGTGCTTAACTCCGGTTTTCTTAGCATGAAGCGGCTAGGAGTATTGCTACTCCTCCCTGAATGGGATGCTAGTCCATCGCAGGGTTACCCCCAGCACATTTGCTGGTACCTGTTTGTACACCTGGGTGAAGAGAAGCACTGTGAGAGTAAAGTGTCTTGCCTAAGAACACAACACAATGACCCCGGCCAGGGCTCGAACCCAGACCACTCCATCCGGAGTCAAGCGCACTAACCATGAGGCCACCGCGCCTCCACTAAACAGAATAAGAAAGATGGTAAAATTTTGAGCTTGGCAAAGAGATGGCGAGAGACGAGTCCCCAAGAGGAATCGAACGGCTCAGGCCTTCAGACTCCTCGCTCCGATACTCTTCCACTGAGCCACAGAGAGTCTATTGTGAGCTTGGCTATCCATTTGTGACACGCAGTCTGCCTAGTGCTAGGATCAGCAATGTCGAAAGCGTCGAATGAGCAAACAGAATAAGAAAGCTGGAACATGTTTTTTTCCTTGTCTAACGCTCGTGAACAAACATAAGCATTAAGTGGTCTGTCTGGAGTTGCTTCAGTACCTGCACCGCCTAGTTACGTTAGATACACGACCAAAATAACATTACCATTTAAGCTGGTAATAAAATTTGGTATTTCCCAACCTGGTGAATGAAACTTAATGAAACGTTGTCGTGATTGTCAAGTATTAATTTGTCGTGCGTATATTTATTAATTTGGTATTAAAGTTAGCTCTAGCCGACAGTTTTTGATTTATATATATATCTTATTTGAACTGTATATTAAAAGTGGAAGTTAAGATTTAATTAAAAGATGAGGAGTTGGTAGATATAGAATGAAAGAAGGATTGTAAGTTCCTGCATTAATTATGTCTCGCTGTGTGTGTAGCTCCAGCTGGTTCTTGGAATTATGAAGAATAGAAACCTCTCAGCCTTGCATGGACTTCATGCAACTCTAGTGTGCAAAACTTCAGCTGGATGCTCGATTATTCGTTGGTCTACGAAATGGGTACAAACAGAAAAAGAGCAATATCTAGCTACTAAAAACCGAAAGCGCCTTATGATCATGAGCCAGTAAAGTTAAGCATTGTAAAATCCGGCTAATAACAACCTTTTTTTATTTTGTGAGAACAAAGCGGACAAACCTGAGCAAAGAAAATATTAAGAAAAACCAGGGTAGTAGAGTCGGATCGTTTTGCATGTAAATGACGTTGAAGAGCGACATAGATCATAATCTACAACAGATGTACTCAAAACTATAACAAAGTTCTCGAATGCGATTGGTTAGCACCAGCTGGATTTATAACCGATCTGTCGTTCAATTCTGTCTGTAATCATACTAGTGATTAACAAATCAGACTTCCGCTTCGTGGTCGTCTGATGAAATACAAGAGAATCATTTGTAGCTCACCTGAAGGGATTACTACTTCACTTAATTGAGAGTGTTTATCCAACCGTCGCCACCCAAGATCAATACTAATAGGCAGCAGGTTAATATTTCATTCAGTACAATAACTGGAAGAACTAAAACATTTCATTTGACAACAATTAAAGAGTCTTTTGTGACCTGCTGTCTTTGCTGGACCCTTCATCGCTGTAACACGTGTAGTGAAATTTTGATGTATGCGAATCTGTCTTTGCTACACCCAAATACAAATTAAACGGGTGTAGCATTAGCCCTCGAGGCTCTTACGCTTTATTAGATCTGTATACTGTTCATCAAATCTTTATGCTTTTCCTGCTTTTTTACATCGCAACCATAAATATCAGAGGTTTTTTAATAAGTAAGGTTTGTCATAATTTTCCTCTTTTCTTTTATTTCCGAAGTTTTTTAGGATTCTGCCGTAAAATCAATTTTAACAGAGAAAGGCCAGTAGACCTTTCCATTTAATTACAGCGATAGGAATGAACTTACATATTAATTTATTATCTGTTAACGAACGAATGAATTCTACATATGTCAAGTTAGTGAAAGATGATTTTACTGAAAACCGCTGAAGCAAGCGACAAAGTGGCATTAATAATCTTTGCGAAGTGATCCTCAATCACAGATTTTCCCAAAGTGTTTGACTGAAAACCCTGCATGTTCGCAACAATAGAAGCAATAATAACCAAATCAAAGCGAGTCGTGCATGCTGAAACAGACTCTGAACCGTGTTTTACTTGTGCATGATTAAAAGCTCTTTGGGGTGCAACAAAACACAGCCAGTTGTTCAATTTGATGAAGGAACATCCAAGACTTTCTTTCAGTGTCAGGGAGTTGATTCACGAATGAAGAACGAAGGCCGCGGTTATGGCGGAAGACACATGGAGGTGTGCTGCAGCTATCAGTACCGCCCTAATACTAATATTGTAAAAGCAGTGCACTCTTAAAGTTTGGCAGTCAACTGCTATCGACTTGTGATTAAAACATTCATGCAGGTAAAATGAAAATGTTTTCGGGAATGATCATAGTACGTTCTAAAGAGCAACACAATAAAGCCAAACCTGTAGTTAACACACTTGAGCAGATCAACAAATTTGCAGCGTCACTCAATCCCGAAAGCAAACCGGATTTCCTTTGTCAAAAACCAGGAAAACGTTATCAGCAGCTTGTCTTCGGCGAAAGTTCTTGATGTGCCACAAAAAGGTTTTAAACCCAAGATCTGACAAAATTGCTCAACGACTCGAAGGAAAGTAATCAACAAACTCTCAAATAAGCGTGCAAGGAATTTAGCAATTTGGTTCATCATCATATAATTATGTAAATGTCAGGCCGTGATCGGGTCGGCATAATGAGTAACGTCTCTTACTTCTGTTATTCCTTACCGGCAAGAACAGTCCAAATTACTACTTTCCACAAATTCGTAAACTTACTTCATTCCCTGTAGACATAAAGCAACACCATTCTCTATCCACTTAGTCTTGTTCTGTGCAGCATGCTCTGCCTCATCCCACATGATTTTTATTTCACCGAGCTCAGCCATGACCAACCCATTGCCCAACTAGGTTTCGTTTTACACGATGGTTTTGAGCGCGGAGTAACCCTTGGGAAACGAGCTCGATTCGTTCTCACACGTGTAACACCCATTGGATTCGGCGACTGCGTTTGATTTCCATGACATAACTCTGGCGACCAGTTTTTCTCCTAAGATTCCTTGTCGATAATCTGTTTTGCGACAAGGTTTGACAAATTTTTCGTGGACGCCCACCTTGGAAGGACCTAGGTTTGCATATATCACACTTAATGACACGCTAGCATTCTGTAACGTAAAGTTAGACAGATTTGAATCGGCTGTTACACAGACAGGCCTTAGTGTCAACAACATTAGACTAATTTGACGCCCTTCCAAGTTAAAAGTCGGGGGTGGTGTTAACAACTCTATCTCGTAAAAACTATTCGCCCAAAGAAATGAAAACAAATTCAAATCCTTCGCACCCAGTTAACCATGCGCCTGCCATGCAAACTTATCCTCTTTCCCAGAATTCTTCTCGCCATGGAGAAAGTTTGAAAACTGAAAGAACAATCAAAAGGAAGATGAACCCTGTTTATTTCACCATCATGGAAAGCTTGAGAGCGTTGTTGGCCCGTTCCAACCACTGTATATATTTCATTTTTATTACCCCATGGCTCATATGCGCCTGTAAATCGCGCGTGTGCGTGATTTTCCGTAGTGACGGAGGAGTGCACCTCATAAGGATAGAAAACGTAGCTAGAAACAATAAGAACTATTTGTTGTCAAAACTGTTATTAGCGTATTTCCGAATTTTTGGTCAAGAGCTTTGATGGAAAGAAAACATTGTTCGAGGTTGGTCAAGCCTCAACTTATATGCAGCCTGTGATCCATTGACAATTGAAACAGAGTAAGACGTAAAGAGGTTGATGTCGTCTGCTGTAATTGATGCCAAGATTACAATTTCCTTTTTCGAGCATCGGTAGGTGCTCTGGAGTGGAAATTCTGTCTTCGATTTTGATTTTTTTCAATTCATTTTGGTGAATAATTTTAAAAATACCAAGTTTAAAGTTTGAAAATCATGGTTTGAAGTCTTTTGCTATAAAAGAGCGGAATTAACTTAGTGAAATAACTTTAATTTACTTAAATTAACCTAATATTTCCTTGTGTCGTTTCCTTTTCTTAAACATTTTAAGGATAAATTTATGGTTTTAGAGTTCATTCCCGAGTAATTTTAACAGAGAGATAGAGGATCATACTCAGTGAAGGTTCAAAGCATATTGTAATATTGATTGACAGATTACTGGGATACACGACTCCAAGGAGACTACAAACCATTTCGCACCCCAAGTTGGGATTTAAAGACTTCTGCTCTTGAGCAGAAGTCTCCTTGGCAGCGACATTGTACGGTCTTGTCGCTCAATCAGCTCACCTCTTGGTGGAGGAGAAAGCGCGTTGCGTGACGACAACAAACAACGGCTGCGTAGGAGAATACTTACGGAGAGAATTCATTACAAAAACGATTCTAAGGATGAGGCGACATATTACAAACGCTCAGGTGAACACTTTTAACAGGCGATAGTTGATGATTGGAACTAACGGTCCAAAAAGGAATGCCAGTAGAACAAAACTGATAAAAAATTGTTCTACTGGCAATGATTTCAATGATTAAAGCTGGTCGTTACGAATATGAAAATTCTGTCTGCGAGCTCCAACCTTTCTATTAAATGTAACTATGCACACGTTTGACAATCGGTAGATTTTCACGAAATAGAGGAAAGTTTAAATGAAAAACTTTGTAACTGTCACATATCCTAAAGAAAAAATGTCGAATATACTCATGTTAAATTCCAAACAATGGTTGATATTCTCAGCGCATTGCTCTTAATACGCAGATACGTTGACTGGAAGCTGTCTCAAGAAAAACCTTTTCGTGATAACCAAAACACGACTAAGCAGCCAAGAAAATTTCTTCGCCACATAAACAACGAAAAAAGAAATTTATTTGATACTATCTTAGGAAGTTAAAATTTCTACAAATTCCGTTTATCTTTGTCAGAGGCTTCAAGCTAATTACATCTGGTGTACAAGAATGCTCAGAATCATTTGAAACTCATGCACTGTTTTGAATGATTCTAAAATACAATTGATATGTAAGAGTTTAAGACACAACCAAACACTTGTTTAAATGCCAATCTCTTCCAATTTTTGTCTCTGATCCGTAGAAGATAACAGCCGGTAATAAAAGTTAAGGTTTTTTTTCAGAGATCCCTTTGTTCTCTAAAGATAAAAAGTCAAGTTCCTTTGTTTCTCAAAACCTCAGGAAGACTTCAAAACATATTGACAGCGGGTGGGTGGTGTTGATTCGTTTTTTCCGAAGCATTTACAGGCTTTAACGAAAGACTAACATCCGAAAAAGTCACGAGATTTCGCACCAACCTAGAGTGTGCTCGATGGAAAAGCTTTTTACTCAACACTTGTTTGTATTTCTCGAATGACAAGTGATGCGCAGTCGCGAAATTAAAATTTCTGGAATCAAACGTAATCTTTAGTTTGCAAATACGCATAATTAAGAGACTAAAACTTTCTACAATCCCTTAGCATGATATCACTCTTTGGAAAACCATGCTTTGTAGTCTCAGTTATTCGCTAAAAGGTAGAACGAGATGAACCCAATTATGGCAAATTAGTGTTCATTTTCTTCAGGTGGTAATTCTAGGGTGATTAGTTCTCTTTCAACTTTCTCCACGTAGCTGAAAGTTTTTTGGGCGCTTCATGAAAATGAAGCCGGAGCGCTAACCTCAACGATCAGTGCTTTAATTTTTGGGCGTGCAGCACTGGCTGGGTAAAACATGATCGAATTCTGCTAATCTCCATCTTTTAAAAACGAGTTGATTGGTCAAGCTGAGAAAATCAAGGTTTACATTTCCTAGCAAAAACTTGGTATGTGTTTATTTTTAAAACTTTTTATACGGCACGAAAAGGTGAAGAAGTTTGGCCATCCATAAAATGAAGCGCTGAGACAAAATAGGTTGTTTTCAACAGAGGTCCCATAACCATTATTAACAGATAATAAAAGATTATCTCTTGTAGAAAACCAAGCACAATTTAGAGTGTAGACTGGCACAAGAAATGCTGCTGACTCAATAGAACTGGAAGCGCAATGAAATTACACAGGTTCCTATCACCTTAAAAAAGTGGTTGTTGATGAGAGAAATTCACTTTAATCCCCTCTTCTATTTTTACCAAATGAATTTAATTCTCCTTGCAACTAAAATTATTTAATAATAAGCTCCTTCTTTTCTTTGGCCGTTGTCTCCGGATACATTAATCAGTCCTGTGTGAAGAACAAAATCACAGATACATTAGGCGGTTCTTGCCTTTAAATACTGTTTAGATGTCCCATTACAATATGTAAACGACTAGGAAAGGAATTCTAGTGCAAAATATCCTTGTGAGATCTATCTTTAGTAGACGGTATACATGGACAAAAAAATCTAATTTTCAAAGAAAGACTCAGTTATCTGGCGCGTTTGCTTACATTTCCTCCCATGGTGGATCAAAAGATTTGGGGCTGCTATAGCAATGTGGCAATAGTTTGGCTCATTACAACTGGTGTCCCACGCAGGGCTCTGTGCGAAAGTAAGATTCAAATATTCAAAATGGCGAATTCTAATGAAATACTGGTAATACTCGATAATAACTGAAATACTGTTCGACGTTCCTTGGTTGTGTAGTTATAACAAAATACATCGTTATTTCAAACTAGGCTTTACATCCTTACTCAGACGCTCAATTCCAGGGAGTAATTCAGCGAGGACTCGTATGAGTGTTATCAAAAAAAACTTCAAACATATCAATTCATTTCCCTTGGATTTGCCAAGTTAGATGATATTTCAGTACCTTGAGCGTCCAGTACTTTGAGGCGCTAAAGGAAAATTTCTCAAAGCATTTCATAACTTACGTTGGGAAGGCAATTTTCCACTTTTTCATCAATTCCAAAAATACCCTTCACTCTAGGCTCCTATGAATTTTCAATTTCTGAGCAAATCTGCACAGACGCCTTGATTCTCGGATTTAAGTGTTTAAGTGTAGTGCATTCGGTAATTCAGTTATTTTAAATTAAAGTTGGTTGCGAAACGTTTTTGGTTAAATGTTTCTGACGGAATAATAATCGAGACAGAAAGTTGCTGATCACGAATGAATCGTTCGTATCCTCGTAAGAGATAAACGCCTGCAAATCTGTAGGAGAGTCTTCCAGGATACGGCTCGGTAGGCGACAGTCTTTGGACGATACTTTGGAGCTTATCAAGCTTTTGCTGAAGAGCTGTTGTATTGTGTAGCAGTGAGTTTAATTTCAGCTGGATTTTCATGTGTTGTAACATTAGACATGGAGCCAAGTAAAAGCGTGGGCACCTTCCGTTGTGTTCACTTTCAAGGATCTGAATGACGTTAAGTATCGGTTTGTCGTGGAGTAAGCATTTATGAAATTTGGTAACTGAAATTCCAATACCTTCTAATGTCTTATTGCTGGAACGTGGAAGCGAATCTGCTTCTCTGATGTACTCCATGGCTGTCGAAAAGGTTCCTTCGGTGTACGCCTCGAATGCTTCGTGGACTAGTCGGCTCATTTCATCTGCTGTACAAGAAGAGTGTTCTGGGGTAGTTCTTGAACCAATTACTCTGGAACTTGGCTCGAGACGACAGATGCAGGAATTCGCCATGTCAGCGATTCTGCAGAT